CTTTTCGGTAGAGCTACTGTTGCTGTTGTTGTTGCTGCTGTTACTGCTGAGTATTGTGTTTTGTGCAACAGGTGAATTCAATTGAAAGGAAATAAGTCGTATTGTTTTAGTTGTTTTTGGTTTAGGTTGGCGGGCCGTAAAATATGTTTATTCTTAAGTAAATGAATGAGTGCTGTGCTTGTTTGGGTGTGCGTGTTTTATTGCTGCGAAAAGTGATGGGATTAAAGCACTTGGTAATCTGAGTAGTGTTTTGAAATAACTGTCCACTTGCTCGTGACAAATTTCTTTCGCGAACAAAAGTGAAAAGGGTTAAAAATAATTGTACGCGACAACAAAAAGTGATGACAAGAACAAAATATAACACATAAAAAAACTAAAATATGAATATGCAAAAGTGTCATTTGCTGCGAAAGTTTCGCACTCAGCATACTGAGGTTTTTAAAGTTTGAGGATTGTCGAAACAAAATGCATATATGAAGAATAAAACGGAAAACGACAGCAAAAATTAAAATTGGTTTTAAACAGTAAGCAAAAATTAAGAATAAAAAAGTGATTTTAAAATATTGAAATTCATGGAAAAATTTAAAATTATTTTTTTTTTACTTTATTTCTAAAGAAATCACCGCAAAACTTATTCTATGAAAAACAAATCTAAATAAATTTAAGTGCTAACTTATCTTAATGAATATTCTACTCATTCACATTCATTTGTTAACTGTTTATTGTTATTGTTTAAAACGTGTGTTTACTATCGCAAGAATACATTACCGTTAGAAATACGCAAATTTAACGCTAAAAGAAAAACAGCAATACTCCAAATTGAGTTTTATTTACAAAATGTTGTTTTGCAAACGTGTAAAAATATATGCCTTTCAATAAAGCGATAAATAACAAAAAGCTTTCTTAATATAAAAAAATTTAGTTACAAAATAGTATAATCATTACAGAAACAATTATTACTATTATTATTAGACACGTTAAAACCACACTTAAAAGACCTGACATTGACAAAATTTTAAATTTGCAGTATTTAAAGTTCACAAGAATTAAAATAATATTTTATTAAATAAAAATTAAAATAATATTATATTAAATATTAAAAAAAAAATTTAACTTTAAACATTTAACATTAAAAAATTTTTCTTTTCTTTGAGCGCAAAGTAAATCGAAAAATATTAATGATTTTATTAAAAGTTACGAAAGTTAGTGTTTGAAAAAATTTTGGGTGGTTCTCAAAGAGATGTTTAAAATTCTTTCAATGAAGCTTTCAAAATATATTCCTTAACTACGTGTAATATATTTAAATTATAATTAATAGAACAACTAAAAAACCGTATTAAAATTTAAAAAACATTAATTATCGGAATGTAAGCTGTGCACAACTGTTAAATGTATATAAATGTATTTTACATATTCATTCCAGTTCAAAATCAAAAATAAAATATATTCGCCTTAAAAACTTAAGCGTTTGCTTTTTCTTCTCCTAAAGTAAGTTTTAAATATAAATCATTAAGTAGATGAACTGAATATTTTGATAGAAATTTTTTAATAATAATAATAACAACCCAACGATTACCCTCCTGCCGCCCAACCGACGCGAGGGGCGCAATCCGCATACGTGCGGAATTACCCGCGTCAGAAAAGGCAAGAGAGTTTTTTAAGTGTTGAGATCTAAAATTGCTCAGCTACAGAAACAAAAATTTCAACAGCTAAGATCTAAAGTTACAATATAATAAATTGTTACATTTTCATTTATTAAGAGAAAACAATAAAGTCTTTTTAATTTTGAAAGGTGAGTCAGATAAGTCAAATGTGCTGGAATGAGAATTAAAATCATGACATATACGGCGGAATGGCTCGTTAAGTTTAAAATTTGATCTACAGGATTTTAGCAGTAAAGGTCTAGACTGCCTCGAAAGGCGAACCGGGATATTAAATTTAATTTCAGACAGGAGAAAAGAACTGCAAACAGTTCTATTCAAAAGTTTCACTAAGAATATTATGCCAAGCATTTCCCTACGACTAGAAAGTGTAGGTAGATTAATTAAGTTTAGACTGGGTGTTATGGAGGTAACTTATAGCCCCATCCCATCGGAAATGCGCTAAGGCGAAAAGAAAATTGTTTTGAACCGACTTTAACTTGTCAGGACAGGATTTGGTAGCTAGGGTTCCAACCACAGAGCCATCATTCCCAATATAGGTCAACCAAAGTTGTATAAAGCGTTTTAGTGAATATACGGATCTTAAATTCTTAGACCAACTTAACAAAACCTCGAGGACAGCTTTTGCTTTCAGAACCATGGGGTATCAATATTAAGGACCGAAATTGCTTAGGTCCTATTAACTCCCAAATCAACATAGTTAAAAACTTGTTCTAGAAATGATTTTTATACATAAGAAGAGTGCACAGATCCTACGGAAAATATACTCGTCTTACATTTATTGAATTCAATGGCAAATTTCTATCACACATGCAAACCAAATTGTTTAAGTCTGTTACCAACAGAAACCTTCCTCAGTTGAAGTGTCATGATTTAAAAACTTACATCGTCAGCGATAATAAAAATCTTGAGAATCTATTCTGAAGAATATCGTTAATAAACAACAAGAACAGAATCATGGCAAGATGACTACCAATTCTTTTAACAAATAAAAAGTAAGTTTTTGGACGAAACTATTTTATAGAAGCTAATTATATAATAGTTATTGGATGAAAATTAATGTATACTAAATCTTGAAATGTTTTTTGAAATTTTTTGACAAAGCCAAATACATAAATATAATGCGGCTGTTGCATATCGCATTTAATTATTTAACTTATGCTTTTGATTCAAAAATTAGAAATTAATACACGATATATAATCCAAATATATTAAAATAATTTAAGTAACTAACACAACTGATTTCACTCATATATCATAATAGAGAAATATTTCGCCATAGAAACTGTAAATGCTAAATAAAACTTAATTTCTTCAAAATCCATAAATCACGTATGAGACAATTAATAGCAAATATTAATATTTTATAATAGCAATATCAATATCATATAAATATATGATTTTCAAACATGTTGGGAGAAAGAACTGAAGGCTGAGAAATAAATCCATTTTGACTTATAAAGCTCTATATATACCGACCTTAGCAGTTTGTAGTTCTAATTGCAAACAAACGGTTTAAACTTTTATATGTTGTTAAATATTTTACCAAAACTACTTCCAAAAGTGTAAACTAGTATATCAAATAATACAGCTCCTTAGCAAAAGCAAAAATTTAATTTAATTTTATTTTTTTTACTTGTAACATTTAACGATAATCAGTTATATTTGAATTGCTAATACAATATTATTTTGCTTTTATGTACTTCGTATGCTGATGCTGTACGCTCTGCAATGACCCACTTTACTAAACCACTTTACTTAACTGCAAAGAAAGACAACAACAAAAAAAACTCACTGCACAAATCTTTCCTCAACGCGATAACCAGAATAAACGCGCATTTATCAATAGCAATCCGAAACAAAATCGTGCAGCTACACAAAAAGTGACTCACTACTAAGTCATATGTGTTCAGCTACCAAGAGTCAATAAATAACTAAAATCATACAAACAATACAACTATAATAGTAAACAAGCAAAAAAGAATAGAAAGAAACAAAAAAAAAACTGCAACCTCTTACGGCAACGCAAGCCTACAGCGCATACGTAGACAGATGCACGAGCCAACAGCCATACTAAACGCTTTGTACGCGGAATGACATTACAGCGCAGGCGCCGAGACAACGCATGGCATCGGTCGCTGCTTGTCGTCGCCTTTACTGTTCCATGATATCATTGGTGGCAGGCAACCGCATCATGGTTTGCGTCTATGAAAGTGTGCGTTGCGCGCTTTCTAACGGTACAACTGCTGTCAAATTTGCCATTATGGCAAGCGAAAACAAACCGAGAAAAAAAAAAGCCAACCGAAAAACACATAAAAACAAAACATTAATTGAACAAATTGGCCGTTGAGTCGCATGCCAGCGCTTCTTATTCTAACTCTTATCTCCACGACAACTTAGAAATTCAATCGCTTTATTTTTATAATTCGCGGTTGTTGCTGTGATTGTTGCTCACAGACGGATTGCGTCACGTTATTCATTATCTTTTTCATTGTTTTCACTTCTCAACGCCATTTTTCCTGCGCTGCCGGATTTGCTGCAAACTGTACCTGCTGTCGTTACTATTTTGCGCGTACAGGTTGACCTCCATTTCCTTCGGCTGCCATTTGGCGTTGGCGCGTCGCCGGTGCTGGTGCTGCTCTTTGTGCGTTAACCAGCCAGGCACCATAGCAGCTCCAGCGGCCAACAAAAGCATGCAAGCAAACAGCTGTGGTTGCCAGAGCCCTGTGCGTTGCCAAGCGGATTTCGTTGCCAGCGGCCGTCATAGCACATACAAACATATTTAGCAACCGCATAAATAAGTAAATCACGCAGCGTCGCAACGCCACCGCGAGTTCTCTTGGGCCGTTCCTCCACCACTCGGCATTTGACACGTTGCGCCGCTGTCAGTTGTTGCAGAAGTTGTGGAGAACAACTTTTACTCTCACTGCAGTCATATTTTTACCAATTTTACTGCAATTGTAGTTTTTTCTTTTCTTGTTTCTTTTTTTTTGTTGTTAGTTTTATTGCCTTTTGCTTTATTTCTAATACTCGCGTAAGCGCTCACAACAACTTCGTGGAATTTCGTTCACTGTGGCAAATATTTTGTTATTTTTTTTTTACTCTCACAGCATATTCTTGATTCGGCCACACCACGTGGGTGGTCTGTCCTCCATACAATAATGAATTTATATTGATTTTCATGGAAATGGTAATTTCGTCTTCACTCTTATTTAAAGAAAAGTGAAATTTGTTGTGAAAACATTTTCCACATTCAGTAATACTTCGTGCCAAGCAACCAAATTTTCGCAGACTTGTGGCTGTAACTGTATTAGTCACACATTATGTTTGAAAAGCTATTTTTTTTATTTTTCCTACAAATACGCTTCTGTTGGATATCACTTCTCATTATCTTTGCTGGGTTGAATTTTTTTTATTAAAGTTAAATGAGTGATTTGAAAAAAGAAATTTATCAGAATACAGTTGCGTGAAAATCTTAACTTGGTTAAGGAATATATGCAGTATATGTTATAATCTCCAATTAAAAATCTCAGGGAAAATAATTTTACTATCTATTTAATGGTTAATTCAGATTTATAAATAATGTGTTTTCAAAAAAAAACCAATAAAACGCTAAACTTTGGCCACCGAAGCTATAATAACTAACAAAGGTGCATTTCTTAAAGCATAACGGGTATAAAAGCATCTGCACCTTGATACCTTAATACCTTGATATACCTTGTACCTTGATATAGCTATATGCTACAGTGGACTGATCTGAACAATTTCGTCGGCTATTATACCGTTGTCTTAGACAATAACCAAAGAAGAATTTGTTGGAGTTATCACGTCAAATATAAAAATTTGTCCGTACAAGTACTTGATTCCGATCGTGCAGTTTGTATGGCAGCTATATATGGTTTAATGGTTCGATATCAGCGGTTCCATCAAATGAGCATTTATTGGAGCAAAAAGGATGTGTGGAGATCTGTATCTTAAAAACTCAGAAAATGAGCTTCGCTATTGCATCCAGCGTTTATTTTATCAGTTCAGTAAAGTCTTATTGAAAAAATTTTAATAATTTAATCTAAAGATCCAAAAAGTTTTTCGAAGCTGCTTACTTATCACTTAAAAACAACAAAAATTATTAAAATAAATATTTTTTCCTAAATTAAAATATAACTAGTACAATTGTCAGTATATGATATATATATTTTCATTAAAATACATAGAGTTATAACACGAAATGTTCATTAACACTATAAAAACATCAAAAGTTCTCAATTGTAACAGCTGTCGTGGTGAATTGTCATCAATTTCATACTTGAATAGAAAAAACAATATAGAAATTACGCTCCCAACATTTGTGTTCTTATTGTCACCATTAATAATCCGTGGCCCTACAGTCAAAAACACAAAAATTACAATCACAAACAACAAAAGATGAACTGAGACAAATAATATCTCAAAGTTCCATTATGAAGCCTTTTCTGCTATGACAACTGAAATCCCTGTGCCCTTTTCATCATGCAACAGACGCCAAACAATTTAATGCACTCTGTTATTTTATTACGTCACTTATTTAATATGTGTTATTATACATACATATATCTGTATGCGTAACATTTATGTGTATGTGCATGCCAAAAAATACATTTACAATTAATGTCTATATAAAAGACCTGTATACAAGTACATATGTATATGCATATATTGTATGTTAGTATGTAATGTAGAATAAATGTGACTCAAAGGAAAAATGATGAACAAGAGACTGTGAAGAATGTGAATGGTTTTAGTTGAGAATTCTAATAGAAATATAGCTTCATATGTGATTCAAAATACAACAGTGTGTTTAGACAAGCAACATATGTATGTGCTTGTGTAAGCGTAGACATTTAGGCAATTTTCTGGACACTGAACTTTTATTTATTTTCTATTAACTCAGCAACTATGTATGTTGTTGTGTCAATTTAATTTATGCTCGTTATTTACAAATATTTTATATTTCTTTCAGTGCAGCCGCTTGTCAAAAATTGCAATAAAATACATGTTCATGTATGCGTTAAATACATAAATATTTGAAGTGTTCGTTTGTGAAGCTTAATCAAAGTAAATATTCAAATCTCGTAATATAATTAACAACTGTCGCGAATGTCTCTTATATAAATATACCTATATACAAATGTGGATGCAACAAAGTAAATAATTAATAATAATGTGTGCTTAAAACTACAAACAAACTCACTACAACAACACATGCATCTTGAATTAAATGGAATAAGTCTGCTACAACTACAATTATAAATTTCTTGACTGGTGAGTAGATATTAAAAGTTAATATTGGCGATAAAATTAAAATATATGAATATGTTTGTATGTATTTACCACATTGCCCCTAGAAAT